AGGGGAGTACAGCCGGCCGGGGCTGCCCCGAAACCTTAATTCAAACCAGACCAGGGAGCCTCATAACCTGACTGGAATTTTTCTGTCCTCAAAGCCTCTCCCTGTAGCCAACCGGATATTTGCCTAGTCCTGCGCGGCGGTGCGCCTTTTCCCCTCGCTGCCTTTTAACTCTTCATGACAAGTTGTGACTCGAGCTTGAGGATGTGGCGCGCCTTGTCCCTTGGCACCGTCGGCCCTGCCCTCTTTCCCGGGACTTCGGTAATCTCTGCTGTGCCCCATCCATTCGTAATGGTGCAAAAGAATCCCTCTTGTGGTAGGCTAACGTGAAAGCTGCCGGTAGGGTAGGCGACTCCTGTTTCACACGTTTGGAAATTTCAGTGTGGGAGGAGGGATTTCCCCATGGGTGCCTTTTGAGATGGGTGCATCCTACACGGACGTAAAGTACGGATTTCAGTTGGCTGAGGGGTGTGGGGGCGTTGAGAAAAGTGTTTTGTAGAAATCAGTTTAACATCAGGAGAGGCACCAGTTTGCTATTCCCTGTGCAGGAACTGCCCAGAGATACTCCATTTATGAGATTGTAGCTTGACCATATATCTTGTGGGCGTAATGAGCTGAGAAAGGAGCATTCATGAGAACTAACCACAGCAGTTAGGCAGTTGAACTGCCTCTGATTTTATTCTACTGGCAGCTAAAGCCCTTGGACGATGATGGTGGGGTGAAGAGGGAGTTGTTCCCCTACCGGATACATGGATCTTAAAACAGAATTTAAATGAAACGTGTTGCTGTTCATCAGGTCCAAATAACTAGCATTTATAAATGCCTGAAACAGTGAAACTGTTCAACACCCAGCCTTGAAGGCAGAAGACGTATAGGTCTTCCGATACATTTTTTTAGCCTGCTTTTTTGCTTGCACAGCAAGAATCCTTTGTCTCTTAAGCATGAGTAGAGTTTCCTGTCCAAGGCTGTTTAATGTAGTTCAGCTACCAGCTGTTAAAGTGACAGTGAAAAACTAGAATGCAGCATTGAAGTTTCTGAAGAGCACCTCTCTTCCCAATGGCCTCACAATTCAGTATAATGATTAACTTGACCCCACAAAGTTTTATCAAATGAGGACATTTTCTGTATTGGTGTGATTCAGTGGATGAAATACTGTATGGCTTAATTATATATTGTTTTTTTTTAACATGATTAATAGAAAATAGGACTCTATTTGGATACCTGTAGTCAAGCTTACCTCATTCCACTCTGCTTGCTCCTCGGGGCTGGGCCAATTTTTTGCTGTATGGAGGAAACATAATATGTGTCCTGTTATAAATTTTAATTGTATATTTATTTATTGTTTTAATATGTTGTAAGCCGCCCAGAGCCCCCCATGGGGGGGAGATGGGTGGGGACAAGTTTAATAAATAAATATCCCATACACATTCATTCTGACTTAACTGGGGCTTATTGCTAGCAAGAGTGTGCAAAATTACACCAGTTTAAAAATTAGAAAAAGGGTTATGTACTTTACCTAGAATTTCTTGGCTGTTGAATTCAATAAAGCTGGATGTGTAAGGTTGCCTAGCAAACTGAATGTGCTACTTTAGCTAAAATTGTAATATAAAATACTAAGTTGAGAACTTAGTTGCAGCTTTAAAGGCTGGTATTAGTCTGCTGTGTGCTAGAGTGCATTCAGAATTTGAAAGCTATAATCTTAATTCTGTTTTTCCCTGAACCAGCAGATGTCGCCACTGAATAAACTATGTATATCTTACCTAATTGCTGCTCCCAGAGACTCAGCCCTAACAAATTGCCTAAATAAATAATTTAATTACTCTTATTTGGGTCTAAATAGCTCATTATAATTACTTCCATTATAGTATGAATCTCTCTTATCCAAGGATTAATCTGCTACAAACAATACTGCAATCTCCAGCTGATTCTTGCTAGGTCTATGGAAGGATCACCCAATCTATTTAGTAACTGGATCTTTAACTCCAAAAGTAGCCCAACCTATCTAGTTCTCCTGTGTGTAGCTCTAGCCATCTTGTTATTGATTGCTGGATGCTATTCAGACTGAAACTCTGCCCTTCCATTATCAAGCAGGGGAAAAGCATACAGACTGTATTTTTGTTTTTAATCAGAATGGGATTCAGTTGAAACGTATGTGGGAAGAAGTGGGGCAGACAGCAATTGGTATGGGAACTTTTGAGGTACATAAATGTGCCTTTAACTTTTTTGCTTCTCACCATTTAAAGGAAAGGGGTGGGTAAGGGAAAGGAGTGGAGGCAAGAAATAATGATGTTCCTTTGTGAACAGATTGTTGGAGCTGATTCTTCCAGGTAGAGGGGTTGGAGTAGTAGAAGAGATTATCTCACTCATTTGTGTAAAAGAAAATATAGACCTTAAACCTGTTAAGATAGAAGGAACAACTACAACACTTGCAGCTTCTAAGGATGGGCAGTAGACAGCAGTGTGATAGGTAAATAGCTAAACTAAAGATTATCTCAGGTTCTTTCCAAGACACCATGATCAGAGAAGCTGGTTGAATTTCTAGTGAAATTATCAATATAATTTAAGAGAAAGGTATTAGTAATTCTGCCCATGTAGGGATTTTAGTAAGTATGAAATGATAGTGTTTTTAAAAATCTTGCCATACTTTTTGGTAATATTTTGCACTAAATCATGAACTAAATGATTTCCAGAGTTCCTTCCAACTCTAATTCTGGGTTTCTAGATTGTGTAATAACATTAGTTTGCCGCTGAATTCTATAAACTGTTAGCATGAAAATTCTCTGCATCCAGTTTATCGGAATTCATCACACATTCAGTTCAAAATCATTCTTTTGTGAACATACAAGTATTAATTGGCTCGTTATCATTGATGGTGTTTTCTTCAAGTCAGGTATGCCGTTATATATAATAATATCCAAACTTTTGGATTATACAGATTCCAAAACAACTTCATGTTAGTTACTTAAAAGCTTACAGCTAGACTTGACTTCCTTTTAAACCCTCTCCTCAATAAACTGTTCAGTTTCATCTGTGATAAGATTATAAAGCCCTTTATCAAAGAAGAGTGTCTATTCTGATTTAGAAGAAGCTTCTTAGAAAAATATCTATGCTGAAAGTAGCTATTTCTTGGCTTTGCAGCTAGAGAAACAGCTGTACAAGTAACTGGATGACTTAAATATTGCTGAAGTAGTTAATTAGGTCAGACTTTAGTTGGCCAATAAATTTGTTAAATTCATTTATATAGAAAGGGAAATACTGTAATCAAATTCATGACTTGTCTTAAAAGAGGATTAAGTATGATAGAACAGAGTTCTGGACTCTTGATATGCCCTGCAGACTATAAATTTGAACTTGCTACTAATTTCTCTGTTAGGTCATTCTGATATTGTTTAGCAATGCAGTATATTACATTAAATGCTGTCAGTCTGTGTTTCAGATCTTTCTGTGTGAGGTTCCTCACTTAAAATGTGGAAACAGTAGATGACGTCAGTGTTTTAGAGCAAATCATAGAGATATTGTTCTGTAAGCACATTGAAAACAATGTGATAATTGCCGTTTGTCAGCATGGATTGGTTAAGAACAAATCTTGCAGACTAATCTTACCTTGGATCAGGAAAGTTATTTAGTAGATTGTGGGAATGCTGTAAATATACTATATCTTGATTTCAGGAAACCATTTGAGAAAGTATTCTATAATATTCTAATTGGAAACCTACTTATGTGTGAGCTGGATAGCATGATAACTAAGTGGATATAGAACTCACCTGAAAATTATACTCAAAGAGCTCTCGAATAAGGGTAAGATATCAGGTGGAATGCAACTCAGTTGTAGGGCCTGTACTCTCCAAATTTTCATTAATGATTCATTAATAATTCATTAATTAACAAACTTTTTTTAAAAAAATCTGCGCTCAGTCGTTACTGACTCTGCAGTGACTGCTTGGACGAGTCCTTGCAGTTTTCAAGGGAAGGTGTTTCGGAAGTGGTTTGCCAATGCCTCTTTCCTAGAGGAGAGCCCAGCTGGCGAGCGCAGGAGGCGGGGTTTCCGTTGCTTCACGCCCTTTTTGGGCGCGCACGTTTTTTTGCACT